TTCAGACCTGCTGGGCCGACCCCAGAACGGGGATTTAGAGCACGAGCGAGCCGAACACCCGCAAGCCTTACAACAACGTACCCAAGCTTCAACTCAACGTACAATCAGGCAGCGTCTCCGACGGCTCGAGACTCGCGCCGGGATTTGGGCCCCGTTTGACCGACGTCTCACCCTGAGAGCCATCGAGGTGGAGACCGAGGTTTACGCGGGCCCCGGCCAGAAGCAGGTCGAGATCTCGAAGTACTGGGGGGGGGAGGTGTTTTCGCCGAAAACGATTTCGAGCAGCAAAGCCAAAGCCTACATCGAGCGGTTCTCCGCCCACCACGACCTCTCCGACCCCCCGCCCCCGACCTACCGACAGCTGGAAAACCACTCGGCGCCAACACCACTCCGAACCGGGCCCCGATAGGATCCCTTATGCTGCGTGGCAGCAGGCCCCAGGCGCGATCGATGCGCTCGACGCTCGTTTGCGGTGGGAGCTGGGCGGCGGCACGCTCGGCCACGATTTCAATTTCTTGCCGGGCGCTTTCCTGCCAAAGGGGAACCAGGGCGGGGGCGAATCCAGGGCCATCCGTTCTGCGAGTGATCTACGGCCTGTTGGGCTTAAGAATACTGACAAGATTTTGGTGGGGGCGTGCCTAAGTTCGTCTGCGCGACGCTGGTCGGCTCTGGCACGCTCGATACAGCGTGGCTTTATCGCAGGCAGACAACTCGGCGACAACATTGTCCAGTTGGACACTGCTGCCAGGTGCTACGCCATGTCTAGTTCGGCCGACGTCGACCTTCCTGCTCTCCTCTCCGCCGACTTCTCCCAGGCTTTCCCCTCGCTGGCTCACGAGTGGATGCTGATGGTTCTGGGTGCTCTCCACCTTCATCCTCCCCTCTACGGCTTCATCGCTTACATCTACTCCAATGTGATATGCTGGGCCATTCTTGGTGGACCGATGGTCTATCTCTTCGGCGTTGGCTCTGGCATAATTCAAGGCTGCCCAGGGAGTGGGCTTCTCTACGCGGTGACCACAGACTGCTTCCTCCTGGATTGCCAGAAACACATCGACCTTAAACGTCGGGGTGAAGGCAAAGCGTGTGCTGATGATATCGGAGCTACGATAAAACGATTGCAGTATGTGGTCCAACCCGCGCGCATCTTCGAGGTCGCCTCCGGCGTTGCTCGGCTCTTTATGAAGGCGGTCAAGTGCATGATCGCCTCGCTCAGCGGTCCGTTCTCACCAGCACTGGCCGCTCTGTACAGGCAGAAGTTGCCCAGCCTTGTCCCCGATTGGAAAGACTTCGGAATCGTTGAGAACCTTCTGTGCCTGGGAATGCGGTTGGGACCGAATTCTGAAATAAAAAGCTGGAGTGGCCCGCTTAATAAGCATCGGGAACGAGGCCTCTCACTTGCGAGTTTGCGCGCCCCGTCCATGATCGCTCGGAGTCTGCGTGCTCGGCGCGTCGTCCGCGCGCCTGGCTACGCGGCGCAATGCCCCCCCCATCCTGTCGACCTCCATCGGCATGAAGATGCGATGTTGGCGGGAATATTTCGTTTTCCTCATTGTGGGCTAACTCGCTCGGCATGGCACTCCATGGACTCCTTGGGCGGTCCGAAGACCCCCTCCCTCCAGGTGCTCTCCCTCGCCACGCGTGTTCGGGCAGCAGCCTCGACGTTTTTGCATTGGAGAAATTGCCACCGCAGGCTGGAGCTGACGGCCGTGTCCAGCCTGAACCTCGGGGAAGTTGGACGTGGAAAACGGAGCCCCAACTGGTGGAGCTCGAAAGCCATATGCGAGCACATGTCTGGTGCGCCCGAGTCCTTTCCCTCGCATCTGCGTCGCAGAGTCCCCCGCCCCCTTGTCGCCCAAGCTCTATTGGATCGTGCGCGAGCCCTGAGCCGTAGCAGCAATGAGTATAAATTACAGCGCGCCCTCACCCTCTCGCACAATACTGCCGCATTCCTTGATGATGGGACCGATGTGTTCCGTCGTCGTCTCTCTGATATGTTCCCGAATCATGCCCTGATTATCCGCGGTCAGAATTGGCCCGAAATTCGGAAGAGTTTGAAAGCCATGAAACCTTGTATCTCGTTAGCTGTGCTTAGGACCCTCAGTAATAATTAATGCACGGACAGCAGATTCCAGCATGCGACGGAATCCCGCTGCGCGTTCGGCTGCCCACAGGCTCCCGACAGCTTGTTCCATTATCTTTCCTGTCCTCGTATGAGTTCCCTCTGCCCTCTTACCCTCTGGCCCTCCTTGGTCTCATCCACCCATGCCGAGAGAATTTCTGGCCCGCTGTGGCGGTCTACTTCCTATGCACGGAGGCAAAGGCAGCCTCGCGCCAGCATCGTGGTGCTGCCCTCGGCGATCCCGAGGCCGTCGCCCTTTTTCCTGCTGTGCGCTTTGCCATGGGCAGGTAGAGTGGGCGAGCAGGACTTCGCGGGGCACGCTTGAGGAGGAGGAGGAGGAGGAGGAGGAGGAGGAGTTGGAGGAGGTGGAGGTGGAGGAGGAGGAATAATGGAGGAAGGAAGACAAGGCGGATGATTAGAAGGAGGGGGCGGAAGGGCGCGAGGGAGGGGCTGGGGGAGAGGGAACCGGGGAGGGCGACTGGGAGGATGAGAGAGCGAGGGCGAGGATGGGCGAGGGATGGGAGGGCTGCTGGCTGGAGGCCGTAGCTCCGAGGATGATCGGGGGGTGGCTCGCGGCGATCGGTCTGCTTGAACGCGGCCCCTCGAGAACCGTGAGCTCCACCGCCCTCTTTCTCCTCCGCTTGTTCCTTTTCATGGTTGTGCCATAGTGGAGACCCATGCCAAGAAACGCCCTGCTTGCCTCCAAGGTGTCACGGTTTTCTTGGGTTACGATGGTTTTGCGATGGAAAGCGTGAGAGAGAAGAGAGATATAGAAAAAGAGAGAGAGAGAGAGAGGGAGAGAGAGACAGAGAGCGCACCGCTTCGAACAGCGTCACCGTCCAGTTCTTTCAGCCACTCGTGCTCAATGGACCCTCGCAAAGCGGGGGGTGCCGCGTGCTGAACAGGTGTGGTGGGATGACCTCTCCACTGGCGCGGGCAACTGGGATCCGCGGCTTGAAAAATGGACGGCCGGCGATGATCAGACCTCATTGGGCCCGTCTGCGATACCGTGCGGAGTGAGGCGCCGGCTTTCAGCGCACGTTGGCGCGCGCGCCCTGGCGCCCTGCGAAGAGAGGCGCCGCCTGCGGGCGTCCCCCGCAGCGGCCCAGACGAGGCAGACAACGGAACATGTGCCACTTGTTCACGCGGCACGCCGGCAGGTGCAGCGGGCACCACCCCCACTGCGGGGTGCAAGGGCTTCCCCTCTTGACCTGAGGGCAGCAGGGCCCGGCGCCAGCGCCCGTGCAGACACGGACTCCCCCGGCCCCGCCCGAAGCCCCACCGACGGCGCCAAGAAGCCCCGCCAGCAAGGGGGCCAGGCAAGAACAGGGGAGATGCAAGTGCCCTGCCACCCCGCGGCGCAGGAGGGATTTAAACCCCCCGTTGGTGCCGACTGTGGGAAAGGTGAAAAAAGTTTTAAACAAGGAAGGCCGCCCCCCTGGACAAGCCCGGGGGGTCTCGCGCGACGAAGCATGCCTCAGACCGCGCAGCAGGTCCCGATCTGCCCGGGCGCTTGCCCGGCGGGGCGCGCGACAGGGGGCGCAGGAGGCAGCGGCGACGCCAAGGGGCAGCGAGAGACTGGGGGTGGAGCCACCAAAGGACGCAGGCGCCAGTCATTCTTCGGATTGCGTCGAAGCGCAGGGATGAGCGGTGTCGTCGTTGTCGGGGCATGTCGGTCCCCAGCGCTTGTTAAATGTGTCCAGCCAGGTCAAGCGCTGGTTGAGGTACCTGGTCGTATAGTGACAAGAGTCGCGCGACCTGTATATGATGGACCATATGACTTCGAGAGGCGCATGACAACGCTGCATGAAAAAGGACCCGCGCAAAGAGGGAAAACCGAAGCAACCGACTGGCGGCATCAACGCCATGATCGGCAACAGTGGCATCTTCAATGCGACTCCGAGAGAGAGTCGTCCGTAACTCGCGTCCAGATTAACAAGCCGTCTGACTTCTACGAGGTGGAAATATACCCCTGCCATGTGAGGGGCTAGGCCTGAGGAGGCAGCGCGAGGCAGCCCTGCCAGGCGAGGGGGTAGGCCTGAGATGATTGAAGGAAGCAGCGCGGGCTGCTTGTCGGCAGGGATCGGCGTTCCTGGCCCCAACAGTACGGTGGAGGCTCCTGACTGGCAAAGAGTGCGTGACGCAGTGGAGGACAAGGGCTCGGGCCCCGACGAGGCGATTCACAAGACCGCAGGTGCTAGCGGCAGCTGCACTCGGAGTGGGAAGGTTGGTTCGGCCAGCCGAGGGGGTCGCTAGAGCTACGAACGCAGCGAGAAGCACGGTCGGGGGGCCACACCGACGCGGGAAGATCATGGGCATGATGAGCACGGTGCAGCAGCCCGGTGCAGCAACCCAGTGCCAGGCGAGGGGGCAGGCCCGAGACGCGCGTGGGCCGCGGCGTGGCCGCGGCCATTTCCCCTGCCAGGCGAGGGGCTCGGCCTTGTGGTGGAGAGCAGGACACGTGACTGCAAGCGCGTGAGCGGCGACAGGTGAGCAGGTGGCCAAGAGGACCAGCACGACAGTGGACGACGAGGACGACCTGTTCCAACAGTTCGGTCAGGACGGGGGCATCATGGACACAGACGGCTGGGCGGCCTCCCTGCGCGGCGAGGCGGTGGGCCATCCAAGGGAGAAGTCGATCAGCGCAGCGAGTTCGAGAACTCAAGGAGTTGCGCGACGCCGTCGGCCCCGATGGCCACCTGGTCGCCGAGTTCTTATGTTTTGTCTTGTTGTTCAGTGTTCCACACGTGTTTGAATCCTCGCCGTCGGCCCCGTTGCCGTCCATCGTGTCCGATGGCCACCTTTGCTCGAGTCTTTTTCCAGGTGGTGAAGGACGCCCTCCGCCCCCTAGTCGACGCGGGGGTCGCGGGCGCCCGAGAGCTGGCCCGTGCGGGCCCTCGCGGGCGCTCCTGCCGAGCTGCCCTTCGGTGCCGCCGTGCCCGCTCTGCCCGGCAGCGCCTCCGTGCCCCGCCTGCCCAGGGTGCCACTGCGCCCGCGGGAAGGCGCCTGACGGTCCCGGCCCGGCGCGCCGGGCGGCGGAGGCGGCGAGCCCGCCTGGGTGGGCACCTCCGAGGCCGCGCCGCAGTGCGACGCGCTGGCCGCCGCGGTGCGGGAGGTGGCGGAGCAGAGCACGGTCTGCCTTGACGCCGGCTGGCTCTGCGCGGCGGCGCTGGTGCTGGGGCTCGGGCTCGGGGGCCTGCTGACGCGCGTCTGGTCGGCGAGCTCCGGGTGCGATGGCGCTGGTGCAGCTGCGCGGTCCCCGCTCGTCGGCGGCGCCCTCGGCGAGGCTGATCCCGGGCTGCCGGGCGATTGTCCGCTACGCCGAGGACGACCTCTGGCACGAGCGGATCCTGTTCTACCCGGCCGCATCGGACGTTGAGGGCGGGGCCTGCTGGGTCGTCCTGACCCTGGACGGCGACGTCTACATCGAGGAGCTGGAGGGTGGCTCGCCGGACGACAGCCCCGTGGAGTGGCAGATCGTGGCGCGAGACTTGCGGCTGCCGCCAGGGCTGTGCCGCCCGCGCCGCTTTGGGGGGGACCAGCCGGGGGAGCTGCGGGCCCTGCATCGCCGGGCGCATGCGGCTTCGACGGCTGACGCTCGGGCTCGCGGGCTGCAGCTGCCGGCGCCGCAGATGATCCGCACCCAGCAGGGCCGCGACGTCACGGTGGAGGAGGCGTTCGGCCGCAATTTCTTCGGCGGGCGGCGCGTGACCGGCAAGCAGGGCGCGCCTGCCGCTGGGGGCGCGCTGGCGGACGGGACGGGCGTGCCGGGCGACCAGGAGGAGGACGACGGCGACGCCCTCGCCGTCCCCGCGGTGCCCGCCTCCGCGGGAGGCACCGCGACTCCGCCTCCGCCAGTCTGGCGCGCCGCGGAGCCCGACAGCTCGCGGCCGATCGAGGTCGGCGACTGGGTCGGAACTCCGAGTCTGGCCTTGCACGAGCGCGGGCTGTTCGAGGTGGCGCCTGGGCGGGCCATCGCGGTGCACCTCGCCGCCCTCGACAAGGACGCCTTCGTTGCCTCTCTCAGGCCCGCCGCCTCGTCCGGCGAGGCCCCCGTCGGCGGCGCGGCCGCGACGAGCGACGCCCGCGCCCTCCCGGTGAGGACGGGGTCGCGCGGTCGCGGGCGCGAGTGGCGCGACGTGGTGGACTCGTGCGAGGAGGAGCCGTTCGGGGACTTCCCCGTGGCAGGTCCAAGGTCGACTTCGCGGCGCCTCGACTTCCTTCGGCGGCGGCACACTCCGACGGACCACCACCTGATGTTCAAGACGACGGCCCGGCTCCAGACGGAGCAATGGGGCGTTCAGGAGCACGAGCAGCTCATGAAGTACCTCGAGCTGGCCGGCGCCTACGACCAGCTCGACCTCGGCAACTGTGCCTTCGCGGAGGCGATCCTCCGCCGGGCGCAGACCATCGAGTGGGCGTACCACGATCGGCTGCGTGAGGCGGACTCCGCGAGTTCGAAGGATAAGATGAGCCCTGAGGAGTTTGCAGCGTTCAGCGGCTTCAGCAAGGCGGGCGACCTCCTCACGGTCGCCCCACAGCTGCTGGAGTACGTCAAGACCCAGGTCGAGAAGGACGCCGCCATCATGAAGAACATTCGCAAGGCACGAGAGGAACGAGAACTCCGCCGCAAGGGCCCCGAGGCAGGGGGGGGCGGCGGAGGCAAGGGATGATGCAGCAGCAGGGGGGAGGTCTTCATGCGGCCGCCTCCTCCCTGGACCTCGGGGCCGCCAGGATGGAGGATGCTCCTTTATCCACGCCTGGACGAATTCAAACCGACTATGCAGCTGATCGTCGGGACTTTTTTCCTGCCCCCCTCCTGCGCGTGGACAGCCAGGCGCCCGCGGAGGGCGCGGTGTGCCGCAGCGTGCGGCGGCGGCTTCTGCGGCGAGACGCCGTCGTGCAGGAGTGCAACCGCGTCATCGGGGCCCTCAATGACTTGGCCGGGAGGCCCCAGGCGCCCGGCGCCCCGGGCCTGGCGGAGCGGCTTCCCAATCGGCTGGTGCATGAGCGCGACCGCCGCGCTGCAGTCGAGCTGGGCCCGCCGCCACCCGACCTCACTCCCGCGGGAGCCCTCTGAGAGCTCCGCGGCGCCGGCGCGCACGAAGACCTCGACTCGCCGGCGGTCAGCTTCGACGATTCCCTTGTCTCGCTGCCGGAGGCCGGCAACACCCCAGTGCTGCTCGGGCAGCTGCTCCAGGACGTGGGCGATTTCGATGTCGAGGCCCCAATGCACGAGCAGCTTCTTCGAACTGAGGAGGCAGAATCCTATCTTCTGGCAGCTCCGAGGCAGCCATATATGATATATGGACACGATCTTGAGAGGTGATCCGCGGGTCTACTCCCGCTTGGTCAAGCGGCTCGCCGACGCCGGGATGGTGACCTACACGGACACCCCCCGCGAGAGGTGCGGCTTTTTCTTCGTCCGCAAGAAGTCAGGCAAGCAGCGCATGGTGGTCGACTGCCGACGGGCCAACTGTTGGTTTCGACGGCCAGCCTCAGTAGCTCTTGCCACCGGCTCGTCTCTGGGCGAGCTGGCCGTGCCGGAGGGCAAGGAGCTCTACGTCGGCCACGTGGACATCTGCGACGCTTTTTACCACTTCGGCCTGCCCGAGGCGTTTCGGGATTACTTCGCCCTGTCGTCCGTGAAGGCCGGGGACTTGGGGACGGTGCGGCTTCGTGAGCGGCCGCTCCAGCCTGGGAGCCGCATCTGGCCGGTGCTGGCCGTGCTCCCGATGGGCTGGTCGCACGCCTTGTACTGGTGCCAGACCATCCACCGATCCATTGTCAGCTCGATTCCCGAGCTGAGTGACGTGCCGTTCGTCTCCGACAAGAGTGTCGTGCCGGGGGCGCAGCCGCTGGCGATGACTATATACGTTGACAATTTTTTGGTTTTGGGCACCGATCCCGAGTCGGTGCGGCGTGCCGTCACTTTAGTCAACGCGGCCTTGACACAGAAGGGCCTCCCCACTCATGAGGTGTGCATGTGCGATCACAATGCTGACATTCTGGGCTGGGAGATCCGGGGAAGAGAGTGCGAAATCCGACCCAAGAGATCAAGGCTGTGGTGACTTCGGCTGGCGCTCGACTGTCTGGTCAGTCGCAATGCCGTGGGCCCGAGAGACGTTGAAAAAGTGTTGGGCCATTGCACGTTTGTTGCCTTACTATGTCGAGAGCACTTGTCCATCGTCAATTCGGTGTACTCGTTCGTGCGGAGGCTGCGCCACTGTACCGCAGTACCCCTCTGGGAGTCAGTTCGCTGGGGGCTGAACACCTTCTCGAGCCTTCTGGGGATGATCTCGCGAAGTCTGTTGGTTGCCTGGAGTCCGACGGTGATGTGCAGTGACGCGTCGTTCTGGGGCTTCGGGCTGGTCAGCAGGGGCTTCAATGAGGACCTTGTGGGCTCCGTGGGCGGCTTCTCGGAGAGGTGGCGTTTCCTGGAGGGCAGCAATGTGCAGTCTAGGGCCTGGGCTGGAGTCGGCGAGGGGCCTCTCGAGAGCTCCAAGGAGTTCCAGGACATCGTGGGCTCGGAGGAGGCCTGCATCAACGCCCGCCAGTCGGCCGTCAGTCGCCTGCCTGCTGAGTTTCGGGAAGAGGGTGGGGCTGTCGCGGGCTCGCACAAGTGGGGGGGCCCGCCCGACAACATCGTTGAGGGGGAGGCCCGGGCGCTCGCGTTTGGGGTTAAGCACATCTGCCGTTCAACAGCGTCGTTTGGGCGCCACCACCTTCTCCTCTCGGACTCGCTGTCGTCCGTCTTGGCTTTGAGCAAGGGGCGCTCTTCGGCACCAGGAGTCTGCGGGGCCCTCCGCGCAGTCGCTGCCCATGTCGCGGCAACAGGCCTCGGCCTCGCCGCCCGGTGGCTACCCAGCGAGTGGAACTTCGCAGACGGTCCGTCGCGAGGCCTCTGGCATGCTGGATATGCCCGCGCAGGAGGCGGCGGCGCTGACGCGGAGGCGACCTCGGACGGAGGCTGTCGACGCCAGCGCGCTGCCGCGGACGAGGGCTCTGACGAGTCCGCCGGCTGCGACGGCGCCGCGCCTCCGCCGCCTGCTGGACGAGATGGGCCCGATGGGCTCGGGTGGCCCCCTGCCGCCCTCGGGCTCGACGGGCCTGGCAACCTCGCAGGGCGCGAAGCGGCGGAAGCTGGCTCGGCGGCTCGCGAAGCTCACCGAGGAGGGCTCGCGGGATATGTTGAGAAGGAGCACTGTTCGCACCCAGACCGTCAGGACCCGCTACCAGCAGTTCGACGACGAGTTCGACGAGTGGATGGACGAGCAGGGCCTTCCGCGCCGGCCTCGCTTCTCGGTCGACCACGGCGAGGTGGGGCCGCTCTCGGCCTCGGACGTCGAGAGGATCGACTTGGCGCTCGCCGAGTGGATGCTGTCGCAGTACCTCGAGGGAGTCGACCACTGGCGCGGGGTGCAGATGTTGGCGGCGCTGCAGTGGAGCGACCCGCGGCTCGGCCGCGACGGGTCGGCCTCGCTGCCGGCGGCGCGCCAGACGCTGCGGGGCTGGAAGGTTCTGACGCCTCTTCGGGCGAGGCTGCCACTCCCCGAGGAGTTGGTGGCGGCCATCGCGTGCGAGCTGGTCCTCATGGGCCAGTGGGAGGCGGCTGCCTGCGCGGTGCTGTCCATGGTGTTCTACATGAGGCCCGGCGAGTGGGGGCGGGTGCTGGCGCGCCATGCCGCCCCGCCGCGCGCCGCCGGCAGCCTTGCGCCGCGGCACTGGGCGCTGCTGCTTCACCCGCACGAAGGCGAGGAGGCGAAGGCCAGCGAGACCGCGGAGTTCGACGAGAGCCTGGTCCTCGACCTCGACTGCGACCAGTGGTTGTCGGGGGTGTTCCATCGCCTGGTGGCCGGCCGCAGCGGGGACGAGCCGCTCTTCCCCATCGCAGCGACGGAGTTCGCGACGCTGTTCAGGCGGGCAGCGCGGCGCCCGGGGGTCACGCCCGACCCCGTGCCGCACCTGCTCCGCCACACGGGTGCCAGCAGGGACTTCGTGAACCAGCTGCGGCCGCTCCGCGAGGCGAAGAGGAGGGGCCGGTGGAAGACCGACGCGTCGGTGCGGCGCTACGAGAAGGGCGGGCGTCTCAGCGAGCAGTTCGCCCGCCTCCAAGGACCGCTCCAAAGGCACGCCCTGCGGTGCCACAGCGTGCTCCCCGAGGTGCTCTTAGGGGGGCTCGCTGCCCCGCCGTTCCAGGCCTGCTGAAGGTGCGGGTATTCTTGGAGAACTTCTCGGGCTCGGGGCGTCTCAGCCGTGCCATGAGTCGACGCGGCTACCACGTCCTGGCCTGGGACATCCGACATGGGGCTGAGTGCGATCTGAGGGGCCCCGCCAAGCGCCGCCTTGTGCGCGGCTGGATCCTGGGGGGTCTCGTTCTCGGGTTGCATCTCGGCACTCCGTGTGGGAGCTGGTCGAGGGCACGCGATATTCAGCCAGGCCCCCCGCGCCTTCGCTCTGATACGCACGTGCTCGGCCTGCCTGATTTGAGTGCCTCCTCTCAGTCTGCAGTAGATTTTGGAAATCAGATGATGAAATCTTCGGCGTCGCTTCTCCTAGTGGCGAAGCGCATGCAGGTGCCTTGTTCTATGGAGAACCCGAGCACCTCGCGGATCTGGCTCGCTCCCGCTGTCGCGTCTCTCATCCGTTGCAGGGCCTGGACGTTTGTCAACACTGATTTTTGCCAGTGGGGCGCGCCTTGGAGGAAGCGCACTTCTTTCTTGGCCACCCACCTCGATCTCTCCCCACTTGTTAAAGTATGCAAGCGAGTGCAAGGGTGCTGCAGCCGGAGCGGTCGCCCCCACCAGGTCTTTGAAGGTCGGGCTCCCGATGGTCGTTTTTGGACGGCTGTCGCAGAAGCTTACCCCTCGCCCTTGTGTCGACGGCTGCTCCTCTTCGATGATGCCATCGTCTGCCGGAGAGCGTCGGCTATGCAGAATGTTATGTCTCGAGTGTAAATGCATTATTACGGCCTTCGGCCATTCGACTGTTTTGGGCAAGTGTCTGTTTTGGCGAGTTCGAACTAAATCTCGATTTAATCATGGTTTTATCTGGCTCGGCTTGTGGCGTGTCGCTGTCTCTCCAGAGAAAAACGGAGCGCCTGGCCCTGCATAGCAGGCGCTTCGCGCATGGCACGGCCAGACGGCAGGGGATACAGTTCAGTGTTCCACACGTGTTTGAATCCTCGCCGTCGGTCCCGTTGCCGTCCATCGTGTCCGATGGCCACCTTTGCTCAAGTCTCCCTCCCTCCCTCCCTTTTTTCTCTCTCTTCTTCTGCACCCTCAGCCTGCAGTTGGCGAGTTCGAACTACATCTCGGTTTAATCATGGTTTTATCTGGCTCGGCTTGAGGCGCGTCGCTGCCTCTCCAGAGAAAAAACGGAGCGCCTGGCCCTGTATAGCAGGCGCTTCGCGCACGGCGCGGCCAGACGGCAGGGGATACATATTATTATTCACTTTATTCTTCTTATTATCATGATTGTTGTTATTAGTAAAGAAATATTAATATTAGTGTTTTTGTTACTATTGTTAATTTTATGATGATTCGTATTATTATTATTATTGTTATTATTATTGTTATTATTAATGTTATCATTATTATTATCATTATCATTATTAGTATTCCATTTTGTATGATTATAATGGTTTTTATTTTTATTAGTATTATTCGTGTTATTATTCCCATTATTAATATCATTCCTCCTCTTCCTTCCTCTCATCCTCCGTATCCTCCTCCTCCGTCTCTTCCTCCTTCTCCTCCTCCGCCTCCTCCTCTTTTGAAGACGGCCAGATGTATCGATCGGGCTTTCGTCCCCGTGCCCACCTAATACCTCGAGCAACTTATTATGTGCGACTTCGTACTGCACCGAGAGGCCGCCCTCTATGCCGATTGGCGTATGAGTGATCATGCAGCCGTGGTCTTGCGCATGCGGCCGCGGATATCCATCGACCGCGTCGAACAGAGCACCCCCGAACACATTTGAAAAGGCCCCGATGTACGCCGCGATGCCGGGGGGGGCATGCAGGGAGAAGTGAAGAGTTGTATGAGGAGGAGGACGAGGACGAGGAGGAGGACGACGACAACGACGACGAGCGAAGCTCCAGGTGACCGCGCCGACGACGCAGCGGCTGGCGTGGGCAGCGCCGCCGCCGGGGCATGAGGAGGCGCATCGGCTGCGCGCCGAGCTCGCCGCGGCCGAGGCCTATTGGGCTCGAAGGAACACGACATGGTCGTCGTCGTCGTCGTCGCCGTCGTCAGGTTCGCCGAGGTTTTCCGCACCTGTCGTCCTGTGGTGGCCCACTTCGGGCCCTGGAGCCGGCAGAAATTGATCCGCGATGAAGAGCTGCCCAGGATGAGCCACGAGAGGGGTTCGGGGAACGATTTTGAGCAGAATGTTGTCGGTGTCGTCCCCGTTGAGCAGAATGTCGTCGTTATCGTCCCCGTCTCCGTCCCCGCCCCCCGCTGTCGTCCCCCGTCATCGTCGTCGTCGTCGTTGTCGTCGTCGTCGTCGTCGTCGTCGTCCCCGTCATGGTCGTCGTCGTCGTTGGCATCGTCATCGTCATCGTCGTCGTCATCGTCGTCGTCTGAGTCTGAGTCGTCCGAGTCGTCGTCTGCGTCTTCGTTCCCCTCGCCCTGGAGAGATGGAGTGGGGAGGCAAGGAGCGATGAGCCCAGTTGAAGAGCACAGTTCAAGTCGTCCAGAACGCTCGGGAACGGATCTATCCTCGTAATAGCCCCGCCTGGTGATGCCTCTCGGGCCTCCCGGGTCCCCATACTGGCGACGACAAGAAGCTAGTCTTATGCGAGATGGCAAAGTGACATATAGCGCGGCTTTACGCGGCGGCCCACGCAGACCGCCGCCGCGTGGAGACGAGGGTGCCTTAAGCCGCGACCTGACGCGGGCAGCTTGCGCGCCAGTGTCGGTGAAGACAGGACAGGGAGGGATAAGCAGCTCCAGGGAAAGCCGAATACGCCAGGGAAGCCGCGTCGATGTTCGGCCGTGGCCTCCGAGATTGGATCGGGGCGTTCGAGGGAGAAAGCCACCAGGCCTGGCCGGAGGGGGCTGCCTGGGTTTCTCGCGCGCCGCTGCCGCAGGCCCCAGAGGTTTCCGGAGGCTCCGCAAGGCCAAAGACTTCCGAAAGTTCCGCCCCTCGACCATCCTATGGCTCCTCCTACTCTTCCTCCTCCTCCCCTTCCTCCTCGTCCTCCTCCTCCTGCCTGTCATCCTCATCCTCGTCTTCCTCCTCCTCCTCCCCCTTTTCCTCCTCCTCCTCCGCCTCCTCTTAGGTCATGGTTCTCACGAGTCGCCTGCAATGTAACAGCAGCGCCTGGCCAGATTTTGGGATGCCTCGCTTCACTAGGCTCGTCGGGGATAGCTTCGGGTCCGAGGGCCATTGGCCGCTTTCCAGGCTTCCCTGCTTGCCGTGGAATGGGCCTCACTTTCCCTTGTTCTCGCTTGTCTCCTCCTCAGGTGACTCCTGGGAACTGAAAGCGGACGGCCGCGGACCCTTCGGACCCTTTTCAGAAGCCTTCGACGAGTCTATCCACGAGCCGCGCGGGCAGCCAGTCTATCGACCTTCCGCCCCCCAGCCCTTCCCCAAGGAATGATCGAGGTGTGGGCCCGTTCGCGAAGCCTTTCGGTTGCCCCCTCTCCCGTTCCTGGCCCGCAGTGGGCCCTCCCTAGGCGTTGTGCCCCCGAACAGTTCGATTCAGTTCAGCACATCAGACTACAGCAGCACGGCGGACCAGCTCGGCAGACCACGGCAGCAGGGCAGACCGCAAGAGCACGCGGCAGACCACAGGAGCACGCCAAACCCGCATGGCAGACCATTGCAGCACGGCAGACCTTAAGAGCACGGCAAACCACAGGAGCATGGCAGACCGCAGGAACACGGGATATCACAGGAGGACGGCAGACCACCACAATGAACCGACAGCAGTTCTGCTGGTCGTCTGTGCGTCGTTTCCGATCTTCTTTGAGGTTCTCGACAGGATGGTCTCTGACAAATTTCGCTGACAAAAGCGACGCTTCCCGTTCCTGTCCGGTATGATTTCTAAAATGGCCATTATGTCCAGGACATCTTCAAAACATAGTTCCGGACGGGGCTCCGAGTCGCCCGGAGGGGGGCTCGCCGTGTCCCAAAGCAGCCTCAGCAGGATTTTTGGAGGACCCACAAAGGGCCCCAAGAGGCCCGCAAGAGAGCCCCACGAGGCCCTCCTCCTCCTCCTCCTCCTCCTCCTCCTCCTCCTCCTCTGATTCCTCCTCCTCCTCCTTCTCCTCCATTCTTTCTCCTTGTAAATAATTTCTCCTTGTCGCACCCCGAGGCCAGTTTTTAGGGCGGGCTGGGAGTTTTGCTCGAGATTTCCTCACCATTTATGGCTCTGAAGCTTAAAAGTTGGCAACCGTTTCGCAGATGAAGGGCGGGTGGTTTTCAAAATGTGGCTCTCGCCTTCGCGCCGCGCACATTCGCTTTAAACATGTGCAAGAGTTCCACGGATTGAGGGCGGGTCGTTTTCAATATGTTGTTCTCGCCTTGGCGCCGCGCACATTCGTCCATAACATTTGACAGAGATTCACGGATTCCCATGATCAACGCATGTACCAGAAATGGTGCTTTGGAGGGATTCAGGCTTATGCGGGTGCAACAGTTATGTTGATTCGTGTTGTTGAATTCCTCAAAACGGCTTTCTGGCAAGATTCTAGATCGTCAAGACGCAGCAGTCAGGTTGATCCGTGGCGTTGAAATCCCGAGAACAATGTTTTGGCCTGCTTCCGGGTCTTCAGGGGTGTCTCCCAACGAGGCAGTTCCCTCAATGGAAATGAACCGTTGTAGGCGCTTGTGAAGTGGGAGCTTGGAGGGAAGGTTAATACCATATTCGTTGATGACTCTTTGGTTTGCTCTGGTCCTCCTCCTCCTCCTCCTCTTCCTCCTCCTCCCAGACGGTCAAAGATAGCCCAAGATGGCTCCAAGACAGCATGGGAGAGCCCCCACAGAGACCTAGCACACGCCCAGGCAGCCCAATAATCCCCCAATAGTCCCTCAGGCCCCCAGGATGCCCCAAGTTAGCAAGTTAGCCCCAGATTGCCCCAACAGCTCCCAGCCTCAAAAGTTCACGAGGACCCTCTTTTTCGACGTGCTTTTTCTCGGGCTCCTTCCCGTCCTCATTCGTGGTTGTCGTCGTCCTTCTTTTCCTCCTCCTTCTCCTCCTCCTCCTTTTCTTTCTTTGTCTCTTTTTCCACCTCCTCATCCGCTTCGTTCCTCCTCGGACTCGTCGTCCCCCATATCCTCCTCCTCCTCCTCCTCGTCGCGCTTGTCTTCCTATTCGTTGTCCCCCTGCTCCCATCGCTGCCCTCCCCGCCATCCACGCTGTCTTCCTCGTCATCCGCCGCCTCGGCGTCGCCGTCACCCTGACGAGCCCAATGGGCAAAATCTGCGCGTCCCCTTGTTGTCCGGTCCGGTATTTGGGGTGCGTGCAGGTCCTTGGCCAGTTCTTACTTGAGGGAGCCAAGACACATCAAACAAAACGGAGAAACAACAACAAACAACACATTCTCTCAAAAGCAAAACCATAAAAAAAGCAAACATACAAAAGCACGATAAGACCAAGGCCCAGCTGGAAACCTTCCAGCGTCCCGGCAGAGGGCTTGGCCCCCAGCCAGAAGCTTCCAGCCTGGCCACACGCTCGGCAGCCTACCTATTGGAGGAGGTGCCTCGCCCTGCCGTGTCGGTAGAGGAGGGGGGCCTCTCGCCCCCGGGGAGGCTGCGCCCGCTCCTGTCGGGCAACGAAGAGGGGCATGAACACAAGAACTCGGAGGGCCGCGCGGATTTCTCGGATCGGTGCTGGACCCCCCTGGCGGCGCCTCCAGCGCCGCCCCTGTCGCGCTCCGCGCCCTTGCCGAGCCCGCCCCCGCTCGGGCCCTTCCGGGGCGGGCCCTCCGGTGAGCTGCTCGGCCTCGGCGGGAAGTCCCTGGCAGTTCTCTGCCTTTGGAGCCGGTGTGTCAGCGGCGCACTGTCGAAAACCTCCTCCTCCTCCCTCCTCCCTCCTCCTCGGCCTCCTTCTCTTCCTCCTCCTCCTCGGCCTCTTGCTCCTCCGCCTCTTCCTCCTCCTCCTCCGTCTTTTCCTCCTCCTTCTCGGCCTCCTCCTCCTCCTCCTCCTCCTCCTCCTCATCATCATCATCATCATCATCATCATCATCATCATAACCATCACCAGCATCAATATCAGTATCAGTATCAGTATCATCATCATCATCATCATCATCATCATCGTCATCATCATCATCATCATCAGCAGCAGCATCAGCATCAGCATCAACATCAGCATCAGCATCAGCATCATCATCGTCATCATCATCATCATCACCATCACCATCATCATCATCATCATCATCATCATCATCATCCGCCTCCTCTGTCTCCTCCTCCTCATCATCATCCTTCTCGGCCTCCTCCTTCTGCTCATCCTCCGCCGCCGCCTCCCCCTCCTCCTCCTCCTCCTCCTTCTCCTCCCCCTCCTCGGCCTCCTCCTCCTCCTCCTCCTCCTCCTCCTCCTCCTCCCAATTCCTCTGCCCCATCGCCCTCCAGGTGAAGCTCGGCTCGACGCTGCAGCGGCTGGCCGCGCAGGAGGCCCTGGCCAGGGCGCACGACGAGGCGTCGTCGGCGCTGCTCGAGGCGTCGGCGGCCGCCGTTGATGGCGTACGCAGCCAACGACGAAGATGCCGACGATGATGCCGACGACGACGACGACGACGACGACGACGACGACGACGACGACGACGACGGTAACGGTGACGACTGCGACGACGATGACGGCGACGACGGTGACGACGACGACGGCGACGACGACGGCGGTGGCGGCGACGGCGGCGTCGACGGCGTCGACAGCGACGGCGGCGTCGACGGCGACGGCGACGGCGACAGCGATGACGACGATGACGACGATGACGACGACGACGACGACGACGACGACGACGACGACGACGACGACGACACGACGACGACGACGACGACGACGACGACGACGACGACGACGACGACGACGACGACGGGGGACGACGACGGGGGACGGCGACTACGGAGGACGACTCCGATAACGACGTCTCGGAGGACGACGATGGCGACGGAGGAGGAGGAGGAGGAGGAGGAGGTGGAAGGGGAAGGTGGAGGAAGGAGGAAGGATGATCGCGACGACACGACGACGATGACGACGACGACGACGACGAGGACGAGGACGAGGACGACGTCGACGACGACCCCGATGATGCGCAGCGGGCGGCCTTGGCCGCGGAGGCCCGGGGCGAGAAGGCCGCCAGGGCGCGGAGCCTCGCGGGGGAGATCGCCTCCAGCTTCGCGGCCGCGATCGAGGCCATAGACGCTGCAAAGAAGGAACCCACCGACGGCGACGGCGAACGACGACGTCAATTGCGGGGGTGCATAGGATGGGGGGGAGGAGGAGGAGGAGGAGGGGGAGGAGGATGAGGAGGAGGAGGAGGAGGACGAGGAGGACGAGGAGGACGAGGACGAGGAGGACGAGGAAGGGGGAAGGGGGGGGGAGGGGAGGGGGAGAGGGAGAGGGGAGGGGGAGGGGAAGGCGGAGGAGGCGGAGGAGGATGATAGGAGGAGGAGGGGGAGGAGGAGGAGGAGGAGGAGGAGGAGGAGGGGAGGAGGAGGGAGGGAGTGAGGGAGGGAGGGAGGGAGGGAGGGTGGTGGGGTTAGGAGGAGGAGTGGAGGGGAAGGGAGAGGGACGAGGGAGTATGTAGGAATGAGAGGAGGAGGAGGAGGAGGAGGAGGAGGAGGAGATAAAAGGAGGAGGAAAAATACGAGGAGGAGGAGAAGGACTGAGCCACAGAGGAGAGGCCTGAGCAAACCGTGCTGGCTGTGGTGACCTGCTCTGGGCTGGGCTCCGAGCCGTATCCCGCCTTCTGCGGCCGTGCAATGCATGTTGAATTCTACACGCCTCTGAACTGCCTCGTGCTTGAAACCAGAAGCTAGGAAGAGGAGGAGGATGAGGAGGAGGGCAGGCGGAGGAGGAGTTGGAGGAGTTGCAGGGTTGTTGAGGTCAGCAGCGGCTGAGGATGAATGAGGGAGGATGATGGGAGGAATGATGATGAGGAAGGGGAACGAGGATGCCGAAGACCTCATTGGCGTCTGCTTGCGATAGGGCCACTGCGGTTGAGGAATATGGTAGGTAATCTACGCTAGAGCCGATGGACACGCACGCCACCAACTTCCGTTTTCGTCTACGGCCGCGTCGGAGGCCGAGTCTGTTGCACCGCATTTTTTCCCCCGTGTTTCTGCACTTACCGTACCAAGCTCTGAAAGTGTTATTTTATTGAGCAATGTCTGGAGCCAGGGATGGCTCCGCGGTGCCTTATGAGGGGGTTTGTTCCTGAAGTCTCTTAGCGATCGGACTTGGCATCGAAGGTTATCTACAGCTCTCTCAACAACATTGTATGACCACTCCATGGGTGGGCCTGCTTTCGGAGCCATTTGCCCACTTGGGTTGTCAAGGTTCTCTGCTTCAACATATATGATAGCAGCGCACGGCTTTTCAAACTTGTCCCCAAATTCGATGGAGTACCGTCTTTAATCTGCTTGCCAACGTGTCACGGCGCTTTAGGTCTGCATTGGGCCAACGGAACATTGTCGTTGAGAGTCTTAGCTATGTAATTATCGTGCAAGACATGTCTTGGAAGTTTTTGGCATGGGTCGTAGCACCTATGGAAACGTCTGAGCCCAAACGGCTATGCATTCGACTAACGCTTGCTTGGAAGCTGGTACTCTTTACTTTGGCTGCCGACTGGGGTGGGGAGGTCATTCCAATCGATGCTGGCCCGCCGCAGGCTTCGATAATCATGTTCTCCTACTCCTTGCCCAGACTCCCACTCCCCTTCCCGTTCCCTGCCCTGCTTACCTTCGTTTTGCACCGGTCCCCCTGCTCGGCCGAGCGACGTCCCTTTTGCGGGCCGATCCGCAGCTCCTCCTGTGCAGCTTCCCTGGCGCTGGACTCTCTGAATTTGCGTGCTGTGTGTTTATATGATGAAAACCATGCATCCGCCATGTAAGTGTGTTGTTATTCCAATTATCCAGGGAAGCGGATTTTCACAGCGCCGACTGACACACAAAGGCATTGGTAATCATGACAAACGATACTGAAGCTTTACATGTCTTGCTTCGGCCCAGTTATCCTTGACGAGCAAAGCAATCCTTGTCAAACACAATCAACATGTGATACAACATCATGCTCATGAGCCTCTGGGGTTGTCCGGTCGATTGGTCAATGATTCTGGCATTCCAGCTGCCTGGTCGCCCAGTCGTGTCGTCTGGTCGTTTGGTCGTCCGTCGTCTGGTCGTCTGGTCGTCCAGTCGCTGGTCGCGCGGCCGCCTGCTTGTTTGGTCGTCCGGTTGTCCCGTTGTTCGGTCGCCTTCGTTTGGTCGTCGGGTTGTGGGGTCGTGGTCATTTGGCCGCCTGGTCGCGCGGTCGCCTGGTCGCCCGGTCGCCCAGTCGTCCCGTCGTTCGGTCGCCAGGCCCAGCCTCGGCAAAATTGCACCATCCGTCGAAGGCTTCGAGGGCGGATATTTAAGTCTCTTAGAAAGGGTCCAAGTAGATGGAGTTGGAGGATCGCGCCGTATCGTCGATGCATCGGCGATGCGGCTCGATGTGGAGCCCGATTTTCTCCACGCTGGCGTCGCCGATGCATCGCTGATGTCGCCGATGCATCGCCCATGCATCGCCCATGCATCGACAATATATCGCCGATGTATCGGCGATGCGGCGCGATCCTGCGACTCTACTCCGAACTCATCTGGGACGCCTCTGGGAAAGAGTACGGTGTTTCGCTCCTTGCGATACAGAGCAACGAGTCTTCGGGCGACTTATAGTCGGAACGGCCAGGTACATTTGGTTTCGGCCATTGTGCGGCCGTTGTGGTTCACGGCAATTGTGTTTGCGACCGCCATTAGCGAATTTATTGGGAGGCCTAGCGGCCGGTGCCGCCGACTCTGAAAGGGGACGGCGACGACGACGGCGGCGGCGCCGGCGGCAGCGGCGACGACGACGACGACGCTGACGCTCTGGAGCCTTTTTGGGGCCCCTTGGGCTCTGCTTGGGCTTGGGCTTAGGGGCCGCGGCTGGGGCCAGGGCCAGGGCTGGGGCCGAGGCTGGGGCCACGGCCGGGGCTGGGGCCGGGGGCCGGGGGCCGGGGCGCCGTGGCCGGGGCGCCGGGGCCGGGACCCGAGCTGTCCCCCTCCTATAGGGCTGGGCTGTGTCCGGGTCCGGGGCCGGGGCCGGGGGCGGAGCGGGGGCCAGGACCGGGGCAAGAGCGGGCCCGGGTGCGGGGGGAACGTAGGTGTCGACCCCCCCGGGACCCCCCTAACACCCCCCAGGCCCCAGGACCCACCGGGACCTGCCCCCCCTTGGCGCTGGGAAGGGATCAAATAGGGCAGGGGTTGCCCTTCGGTTCCACTCCAAGGTAGTTCAATTTTGCTTTGGACGGCGCGTATGAGGAAGAGGGCCCAGGCAAATGGAAAAGAGTGGGACGGAGACGACGACTCCAACGGGAAAGCCTGATCCGAACGGAAAAGCCCTTCACACGCCGACAGGGTCGGCGGATTTTAAGGATGCGGCCCGTTGTCGGACAACTGCTGGCTTTCTGGCAGCACGGATTCCCGCAAGCCGCCCCACAGTCTTCAGCACCTCGTTGACGACAGTGAAGGGAATATTTAAGCCTACGGCAGGCATTGGTAAGATAGCGTGAGAGAAGGGGCCTTCGCGGGGGGATCGCCTAGCAGGGATAGCGTGCCTTTCGGATATCGATGTTGTACGCTACAGACGATGATGATGATGCTGCTGATGATGATGATGATGATGATGATGACGATGATGATGATGATGATGATGATGATGATGATGATGATGCTGCTGCTGCTGCTGCTGATGCTGATGCTGATGCTGATGCTGATGCTGATGCTGATGCTGATGCTGATGCTGATGCTGATAATGATGATCCCGCGCAGCGGATCGACACACCGTACATTCGCAAGGGATAAGAGTCAAGTTGGGCGTGTCCCTCTATAGGACGAGTATTCAAAAATAGGCAAAACATAGTCTGGGGGCTTTTTCTTACTATTTCTGACCGTTGGGGAGCATTTCTGGCGCATTTTTTATTTGTCATCCAAAATCCACCTGTAGGAGGACACGCCCGATCTGACAAAAGAGTGTCGCCAGGGCCGCCAGGGCGACACGCAGAGCAACAGCTCCTGACCGTATCGTTGCAGCTCCCACCGTGTAGCGCGCTTGGTAATCCTTCCCCGCGTCCCCCGAGGAGCTTATCCTGGAGGGCTCCTCTGCCGGGCAGCGGTTGCGAGAGCCCGCCCCGTCGCCGCCGACGGGCCGCGGGCTCGCGCAGGGCTAGGCCAGGCCCTCACCTTGGCCAGGGTTCGCCCGGGTCAGCGCCACAGGCGCGAATCCATAAGCGCGCTTCGTGTCCGGCTTTGTCGTCTCCCCCGTTCATCTTCGTCAGAACCACCGCAGACCCCGCCCGGAGCAGGATGCATTATCGCGACTGTGGTGCCAGATCGCCGGCGGAACTAAAACGTTTCAAGGTGTCGGGCATTGGGGAACCCTCAGCAATGTCCAGAAGAGCGTCCAGAGGAACACGGGCATTTCACGAGACTTGGCATGCGCGAAAGAAGCGGATCGGGACGGGAACAACAGCAGCATCAGCAATCATTTTCGGACTGTTTGCTCGTATCTGCTCGCATGCCACTTCAACACGTATATCCCAACCCTCGAAACTTGCCCTCTTCGTTTTCGATCGTACCACTTGGGTGTATATCTTCCTTGCCTGCCACGTGCATTTGGCCCATCACTTGAAACAGGGGATGAGACGACTGATGCAAGGGGGAGGTAAAAGGATGGAGCACGAGAGGGATCAGCAAGAGGGGCGCAAGCAACAGAAAACAAGTGGCAGAACCAGACAGGCAGGTCGGCCGGGTAGACCTTAGCAGGTGGATTCGCTTGCTGAACTTGAAGTTGTCAACTCCACTGGTCGCGCAATCGTCCCACCAACCCACCCGCAACTTGGTTTGCAAAACCCATGCGGGAACAATTGCGATAAGTGCTGGGTGTTGGCTGGTGCATCTCTGCGGCCGCGCTAGCCCGCGCATGCTCGCCCGCGCAGCGGCCAGCTAGCTTGGCGCGACCGACGCGACCGCGGTGGCGCTGACCGCTCGGCACATCCCAGCGGACACTTGAGTGCGAGTCGGTGACTTGGGCGGGCGCGGTATCATGGCAACGTCGGCAACTGTAGACACGATGATGATTGTAGCGATGCTGGTGGCGATGCTGACAACGACGACGGAGCAGCCAGTGACGGCGC